TTTAGCTCAAGGCTAGTGCTCTACCACTTGAGCCACAGTGCCACTTCCGGCTTTTTTCTTTTTGCTTATGTGGTGCTGAGGAATCGAACCCAGGGCCTCTGGCATGCAAGGCAAGTGCTCTACCACTGAGCCACCTTCCCAGCCCCTGGCCTAGGCAATTTATGATCTACATTGCAGTTGTTGTTTTGTTTTGTTTTTTGTCAGTCATGGGGCTTGAACTCAGGGCCTGGATGCTATCCCTGAGCTCTTCTGCTCAAGACTAGCACTCTACCACTTTGAGCCACAGCACCACTTTCCATCTTCAAGTGCTTAATTGGAGATAAGAGTCTCATAGGGATATTTCTGCCTGGGCTGGCTTTGAACTGCGATCCTTAGTTCTCAGCCTCCTGAGTAGCTAAGATTATAAGCATGAGCCACTGATACCTGGCTATAATCTACATTTTATCACCACAGATTTATCTTTTCTGAAGTGAGGAACAAAGTTTAAATCTGTATTTCTCAATCTTGGATAATATCAATAGTGTTAATATATTTTGGTTGTTTTGATCAATAGTCTCTGTTGTGAGCAAAAGAAAATAACTCTGATTTTAATAGCCAAAGAATATATTGAAAGGATATGGGGTAGAATTGACAGAAGACTGAAGAACCAAGCAGAAGATTATGTGGTCAGCAGCAGTGCCCCAAAACATATAGTGAAACTTCTGCTGAAGAAATTTCCATATGCAATGGATTTCAGTCTTTTGGAGCTGTCTCTTCCAGATGCCTTCCTTACTGCCTTTGCCATCTTAGCAACTCTTATATTTGTTAGAAAGTATATCTAAAAAATTGAACTTAGGACATTTCCTAGGAAGTCTTTGGGTGCGAAGGAATTTACCAGACATTGAAAATGGGGATAAGCTCCTCAAACTTAGTTTAATGAAATAGAAACAGGCCTCTTAGTCTTCATACTCGATCTGTTCATAAGATAATGTACCTAAATTGTAACCTGCTAATCAAAAACCTCAAATTATTGATTAGAAGTAAAACAGAATGTAGTATAATAAAAACCATCATAATTTTGGGTAATGAATCTCTTATATACTAAAATGATATTTACCTTTAGGTTTTAATCTAAGTATTTGCTCAGTTTGTTTCTAGTCTTCTGAGAATGCATCAATCTTAAGCTGTGTTCAACATTTTAAAGATAACAGGTAAAGCTCATCCAGCTTTTTCACCAATTCTATGTACTGTCCCTGATCCTTTATTTCCATTGACAGGCACGGGGAAGGAGAGGTGGCCTGATCCAGGACAATAATGATGTGATGTTGAGGAGTAAGTGGTGGAGGAGCAACAGGCAACATGGAAAAAACCAAAACAAAGCAAGGTCAGATTTTTCTGTTTTACAGCTTAGATTCAAGAAATACAGGTGTTAGTCTTGTCTAACATAACATTCCCATCATCACATAATGATAGGCAATGATATTTATGTTTTAAATGTTAGATATATTATAAATGTTCAATATAAAATCATTAAATGTATATGTAATGTATATATTAATATGTTATACATATAATAATCATATGAATGTATATGTAATGTTTGTATTATATATATATCAATGGAAGTCTATCTATCTATCTATCTATCTACCTATCTATCTACCTATCTATCTATAACTTGGCTTAACAGTAACTTTAGGACTGCCTTAAAACAACATGCTAAATAAGGCAAAGATACACATCCAAATAAGACATCTAGTACCTTCTAGCCTAGTCTAGAAGCATGTACTTTCTCTTTATATTTTATGTTTACCACACAGACACAACCTTAGAGAAGTAAGTTCTCTGATCATCTCCAATTTACAACAGAGGACGCAGCTGTAGAGAAGTCAGACTCTAACTATAGAGTGCCAGTCCTCGGTCTGAGATGTTGCCCTGTGTTTTTGCATCTTTATTCTTACCTTTATATAAACTAGACAACAGTATAAATAGGATAAATAATCCTTACTCAAGCTTATGCGGAAGTTTAGTAATCATAAACACTTGAGCAATTACAGGGATAGCTCATTCCAAGTACAAGTTCTAGGCTGAGGTTTATGTTTATGAACTTCAAACACTGAGGCTGGTCCCTGTGAGGTATTCTTAATACTAATATATTTGAAAGAACAGTATATACACTCATATCATCAAGGGCTTACAACCAAAGGTGCCATCTGTAAACTGGTTAATTCATACAAAATGACACAATGCACCAGGATTCAGTGATGGATGAGCAACTAGCCTTTGTTTTAACATGGGTTGCTTCATTTCATGGCCAACCAATGTGGTCCTGAAAGGTGCACTGTAGATCAAGCTATTCATCTCCCCAGGCTATAGATGGTTTTTACAGCCCACATCTCTGTGTTTTCCTTGTGATCCCAATCTCTAGTGTTGACAATACTGTATTTTACCCAGAACTTTTCCACTGAAAATTCCCTCCTGCCAGTCCTCCTGCAAGATTTCCTTATCTGATTTGAGCAATGTCCAGAAGTTTAGCGAAGATGAGAGATAGGAGAAGCAGTGGATATTTTATTCGGGCTTCCTGAGGTTAGGTAGTGACAACTAGACAGGTCCCTGGTAAAGAATGGCCTTCCTAACCCTTCAGCTCCAAGAATATGAGGGAGACACTTCCTGTGCATGTACTTCTGGCTGTCCAATCATTCCGTGGGGAAACTTTCCCACTGTGGTTTTCTACTACAAGAGCTACAGCAGGTAGGTATAGTTTGGTCATTAGGATGGTGATATAAAATCCACCAACATGACCTTACATTTTGCTCTAGTCATTAAATTTCTTCTCAGGCAGGCACAGGCATAGAATACTATAATTTCTCTTATTCCCTTCATGTGTCTAATGAGAGTTAAGTAGGGATATAATGAATTGTGTTGATTAAACAAGTTCTTTCTTCCTGCAGGAGAGAATGAACATATGCCAGTGAATAATCCTTCTACACAGATCTACCAGGTAAAGACAAATGGATTGTTTTGAATGTTTCTGTATATAATAGTGTCAACTGTCCTCTATCTACAGAGATTTTTATTTCAGCACTCAACACTAAAACAAACCTATACTGGTGCTCCTAACTATTAGGTAGGCAGGGCGGAGGACCACTCACATTGTACCTTGGATCTATTTTTTTCAGGGTGGGTCAGTACTGAGGTTTGAACGCTGAGCCTCATATTTACAAGGCAGGCACTCTTACCATTGAGCCCTATCTCCAGCTACATTGTACCTTTAACAGAACAGATTAATAGAGAACAAGTGATCCAATGTATACAATAGAGTACAACCACCTTAACTTCATGCTTTTTTCCTGTCTGTTCCCTTCAACCCACCTTTGTCACTGAGGCTTGTATACAATGCAATAAATTGCATATCTTTTGATAAAATGAGAGAATAAGATCTGTTTATCTTAATTTCCTATTTAGAAAGTTATAATTGGAAAATGAGTGGAAAATTTTCCAAATACTAAGCTCATTTTAAATAACAGGAATAATTTGATTTACAAGGAAGATTTACAAAAAAACCTTTACAACAAGGTTCTACCAGCCTGCTATAGCTTTGTAAATAGAATTTATTTGGATCCTCTTCTCTGACTGTAAATTTAAAGTAAATCCTACTCTTAAAAATCATGGAAGTTGCTGGGTGCTGGTTGCTCATGTCTATAATCCTAGCTGCTCAGTAGGCTGAGATCTGAGAATTCTGGTTCGAAGCCAGCCTGGACAAGAAAGTCTATGAGACTCTTATCTCTAATTAACCACCAAAAAAAGCCAGAAGTGTAGCTATGGATCAAATGGTAGAGCAGTAGCCTTGACCACAAAAGCTGAGGGACAGTACCCAGGCTCTTAGTTCAAGCCCCAGGACTGGCACAAAAAAAGTCATGGAAGTTTATTCTAACACAACTTTGCAAAAACAGCTTAGTCTGTGGAAACACAGTTTCTCTCTAGCCTTCAGAGTATGATATCTGGAAGATATGAGAAAGGAGAAAGAATCATCAGATCTTTCAGTAATTGGAAGAAAAGATTCTTTCTTAACTAGCACTAAGGTTATAAGCCCAGGTAACCAGGAAAAAGATCAGTATCCCAAGCACAAAGATAGGAATCTAAAGAAGCAGATAGATAGGCTGGAGTCATGGCGCCAGTGTAGAAAACCTGCCTAGGAAGCTCTGCCCTGAGTTCAAACTCTAGTGCCATAAAGAGAGTGGAGTACATAGTTTAGGGGAAATGTTATTAAGATTCATTGAGTTTAAGTGACAAAGTAAGAATAAGAACTAGTTTCTAGAAATATTCAACAGTTTGTTATTGTAGGCCCTATTAAACTAAGCCAGCACAGCATTATACAGCATTCTAATCACTTTGCTCCTACTCTTAGATCATCAGTGTGAAGTCAAAGAATCAATCTGATAGTTATTATATGCTTTCCAATGCTTAGCCTAATGAGAGATTAAACAGATGAGACACTCTCATTGATCTTTTAAAATGTCTACAACCTAGGAAACACATTTAAGAAATAGCTCATACATGAATATATGATAGGCTATTGAAAATATTACATCAGAAACAGTGATAAAACTCTATGAGAGACAGAAAGGGAGCAATTAGTATTGACTGAAGGATATGAACTTGGCACATGAGGACAAGTCAATCATTTGACAAGTGGATATGAGGAAAGCAATTCCAGACAGAGGGAGCAGCTTGGCCAGGACCAGCCTGGGTTTTCAGTTGGTGCTGATTTGATACGATGCTGGTCCAAGGCCTCTAATGCTATCCCTGCCCACCTCCCCTCTGTTCACATCTGACCTGGGTATAGCATTTGGATGAATGGGAGTGAGTACCTCTTTAAACTCAGGTATGATTTCAAGTCTATTACAGATTTTATGTAGGTCACTCCCTGGATGTTGGCTAAATATAGCTGCAGAAGGGATGGCCTCATTATCTTATTGTATCACAAATCCAAGTACATCTGTTCACAGTGGAATACATGAAGCAGTGAAAGTGAAGCTGGTCTATATGACCTCTGTGATGCTATGAAAACCCAACCCTTCTCTTAAAAGAACACCTCCTAAGTCTGTGTACTCCAAGCAACTTTTAGCCAAAAGAAGAAAGAGGAGAAGTAACAAAGAAGAGGAAGAGAAAGGAGGGAAGAGTTAACTATCTATATCAGAAGGGAGAGTATCTGAAGCAAAATGTGAAATCTCAGCAATACTTTATCTCCAGATTTTATTTTCTTGGCAGACCTCACCCCTTTCTGGTGTTACCCTATACATATACTTGCTTTTTCTACTATTGCCTGTCTCTTCATCTAGAATGTAAGCTCTAAGGGCAGGAATTTAGTTTATTTTGCTCATGTGTTGTACTCCTAGCATACAGGACAATGCCTGGCATACAATACGTATTCAATAAATATCAGTTGAATGAATGAGTAAACAGATGCAAGATGAACTAAGAGGTCTGATGCAGTCATCCAGTTTTGTTCCAAGTAGTTTTGGAAAAACTGTCATACCTTAATTAAAACAAATCCCAAAGCATTGGTTAAAAAGATTAAATCAGAGCTGGGCACCGTGGCTCAAGCCTGTATTCTAGCTACTCAGGAGGCTGAGATCTGAGGATCAGCCAGCCCTGGCAAGAAAGCCCGTGAGACTCTTATCTCCAATAAACCACTAGAAAACTGGAAGTGGTGCTGTGGCTCAAGTGGTAGTGCGCTTGCCTTGAGCTGAAGAGCTCAGGAACTGCACCCAAGCCCAGAGTTCAGCCCCACCAAGAAAAAAAAAAAAAGATTAAATCAAAGCTGGGCATTGGTGACTTGTGCCTGTAATCCTAGCTACTCAGGAGGCTGAGATTTGAGGATCATTGTTCCAAGCCAGCTTGGGCAGGAAAGCCCATGAGACCCTTAACCCCAATTAATGACCAAGAAGCCAGAGGTGGAGTTATGGCAAACAATGCTCAGGGACAGCACCCAGGCCCTGAATTCAAGTCCCAGGATTGGCCACCCACCTAAAAAAAAGATTAAATATCAGAATCAAACTAAACTGGGCATGACTCAGGAGGCATGAAAAGCATAAATTCAAGTCCATCCTGGGCTGGTTACATAATGAGACCCTGTCTCAAAAGAAAAATCAAAGCAAAAATTTTAGAATAAGTATTTATTCTTTCTGTATATGAAATATCTAAATAAAAACATAAAAACAACATCAAAAAGGCACCGCACACTTTATAATTAATGCTGCCTTTCAGCTTACCCAAGATAGAATTGACAAATAATTCATTGTGGATGCACCAACTACACTTAGGTTTGCAAGCTCAGTATATTCCCTTTTTCAGTCCAAGTCTACTTCCTTTTTCTCACATTCTTTATCTTCTGGACATACCTCTTTCATAGTTGTGGAATGAAATAACTTTTCCAGAATCAGGTAGTCATATTTCACCTTTGAGCACTGCATTTTGTATATGGATTTAAAACTGTAATTCCATTAGGGAGAAGGAAGGTCTGTGATAAAGGCAGCATATGAATGTTAATCATTGCTAGTCCAGCCCTTACATCAACAATTTGAGCTCCAACTGTAATTTTGGCTCCTTGGGGATGTAAACACTGCAGCTTCCTACATTTCTATTATTTAAATTTCATATATTTTAATATCCAAGACATTTTTTCTAAATCCATTAATTTGGGGAATTTTATAGATGATATAAAATGTTTCCAAGAATATATAACCACAGTCTTATAAATTTTTGAGCCCTGTGGCAACATATTTTCATTTAACCTTACTTAAATATATTGCTATCACTTGTCAAGTCCTGTGGTGAAATATTTATTTAATTGAATACATTAACTTTCTTTAATATAGGAGATTTCCTTTTGGATCAAATACTGCCTAATGGTTTATTTTTTCTTTTTCTTTTTTGTCTGTTGTGGGGCTTGAACTCTGGGCCTGGATGCTGTCCCTGAGCTCTTCAGCTCAAGGTGAGCCTCTACCACTTGAGCCACAGCATCATGTCCAGTTTTCTGGTGGTTAATTGTAGATGAAAGGCTCACAGACTTTCTTGCTTGGGCTGGCTTTGAACCACGATCCTCAGATCCCAGCCTCCTGAGTAGCTAGGATTACAGGCGTGAGCTACTGGTGCCCAGCCCTGTCTAATGTTTTTGTTTTTGTTTTTTTGGTTGGTTGTGGGGCCTGAACTCTGGGCCTGGGCGCTGTCCCTCAGCTCTTCAGCTCATGGCTAGCACTCTACCACTTGAGCCACAGCACTACTTCTGGCTTTTTCTGCTTATGTGGTGCTGAGGAATCGAACCCAGGGCCTCATGCATTCAAGGCAAGCTACTCTACCACTGAGCCACCTTCCCAGCCCCTGCCTAATGTTTTTAACTCGAAGAATTTTCATATTTCAAAACTTATCCTGAGGAAATATATGCAATGTTTACATAAAAAGGATTATATGAAAATGTCTTTTATAGGGTTGGGAGGGTGGCTCAGTGGTAGAGTGCTTGCCTTGCATGCCTGAGGCCCTGGGTTCGATTCCTCAGCACCACATAAGCAAAAAGAAAAAACTGGAAGTGGCCCTGTGGCTCAAGTGGTAGAGCGCTAGTCTTGAGCTGGAGAGCTGAGGGACAACGCCCAGGCCCAGAGTTCAGGCCCATAACTGACAAAAAAAAAAAAAAAAAAGAAAAGAAAAGAAAATGTCATTTATAATCTTTAAAAGCAAGTGGCGCTGTAGCTCAAGTGGTAGAGCGCTCGCCTTGAGTTGAAGAGCTGAGGGACAGCGCCCAGACCCAGAGTTCAAGCCCCACGACCGACAAAAAAAAAAAAAAACACAAAAAACTATAATCTTTAAAAGCTTTTATATGCATACATTTTTAACTAGAGTGAAAAGGTGGGTAAATTCTGAAATATTATATACAATAGAATATTGTATTGTCATTAAAAATAGACAGAAAAAATTTAAGCCTGTTGGAAGAGGGTTTAGGGCAAGCCAGGCATGGCAGCACATACCTGTAATCCCAAAACTTGGGAGGCAGAAGGAAGAGAGTCATGAATTTGAGGTTAGTCTGGATTATATAGTCTTTGTCTTAAAAAAGACAAAGAACAAACAAATAAAAATAATCTTTGGCGGGCTGGGAAAGTGGCTCAGTGGTAGAGTGCTTGCCTTGCATGTATGAGGCCCTGGGTTCGCTTCCTCAGCACCACATAAGCAGAAAAAGCCGGAAGTGATGCTGTGGCTCAAATGATGAGTGCTAGCCTTGAGCTGAAGAGCTGAGGGACAGCACCCAGACCAGAGTTCAGGCCCCACCACTAACAAAAAAAAAAAAAAATCAAAGTATCTGGGATATAGCTCAGTGGCAAAGTGCTTGTCTACCAAGTGCAACATGTTAGGTTTGATCCCTAGTACCAAAAATGAATAGATGAAAAAAAAAGAATCTAAGGGCAAAAAATATGAGGGGTAGAACCAAATATTCTGTCACATAAACACCATACATATAGGCATTTACATGCATATAATAAAATAGAAGCAAATGTGAATGTTAATGGCTATATTGAAGTAATCAGATTTGGGGTAATTCTCATTTTTCTTCTTTTTTCTCTGTAATGAAAGTAACTTAAGAAAATACATTATGTGCCAAAAGGATCTCTAGTTGAAAAACTATGGGGATCATTGGACGTTTTCTTCTACCACAAAAAAAGTTAATTTTCCTGGGTGTATTCAGGGATGGAAAGGATACACTTTACAGCTACCAGCTTCACAGATGCCCTGTAAGAATGACCTTAAGGGTGAACTTCTGCAGGGAATGTAGAGGAGAGGATCAGAAAATTCACTTTCAACATGGCTGCCCACTTTGTGCTTTAAATCATGCCATCTTTGGGGAATCAATAAAGAGCCTAAAATTGGAAGATGGAAGTTGGCAGAAAAAAAAAACAAACAACAACCAGGTTTCCTCTGAAATGACCCTGGTTTCGTGGGAAAGCAGAGCAGTTACCTGGCATGCTTGTCATCGCATGCCACTCCAAAACACCTGGGCTTTAGTGTCAAGTGCTGAAGGAATTTCATGTGCCTTGTGGAGGTATCCCAAACCTTGACATTTATGACATGACAGAGTCCCCAAGGCCCAGGCCCAGGCCCAGGCCTCTGCATCTAGTAGCCTGACTGGTAATGTGGCAGAAAGGAATGGCAAGACCATTAAAAAAAAAAGCCAAGTTGAAACTCATGAACAATTTAGTTTGGGGCCAGAGAGAGAAAAAAAATCAGAAGACATCTGCTAAAATTCATCTTAAGAAGAGTTAAGAAGCCAAGAAAGGCAAGAAAATTGAGAAGCAGAAATTAAGAGCAGGAAATAGGAAGAATTCGGCCTCCTCTCCCCTATTTCCTTGAGCCTAAGATGCGCTCTGTGGAATCCTAGGCTTTGAAGTTCAAGTCTTCCCTGAACCTGCCTCCAGTGGGAGCCCGCCTCCAGCGGCAGAATGGAGGGGTCATAATCTCTCTAGAGCAGCTTCATGAAAAAATCAACGAGATGAGGAACGTGTTCAACTCGCTGGAGAACAAGGTAGACCCCCATTCCTAATCCTTGGGGTGGGCTGTGGGCTGTCAGGTGAACAGAGAAAGAATGTTCAGACTACTGCTTCCGAGTATTTTTTACTCAAGGCCAGGTTAGTAGCATTCTGCAGCAGCTCTGTAATAAGAACCATCTTAACAGGCATCTATGTTATCTCAGGTGAGTGATAGTGCTCACAATAGCTGCTGCTTCTTGTCCTATCACCGGTCATGGAGGTGTTTATTAGGCAGCAGAAATGATGGAGCAGGAAATGAGCCAACAATTTTAAAATTCTCTATCAGGGAAAATTTTAAAGTTTTTGCGAGCTGAGGTTCTACAGATGAGGGCAAGTCTCTTTCTCTAGAACTCTGCTATTGTCTTTTGACTTCTGGGCAAAAACCACAAGTTCACCTGTTGGAAGCAATAATCATGAAACTTTGTTCTGTCAGATAGTAATTCATTCTGTATCCAGACAGGAAAACTAAGTAAATGTCAGGGCACTGGAATGAATGTATGGGCAACGCAATGAAGATTTCCCTCCTTCAGCTTTGAAATATACATACTTTTTACATTGATGTTGTATAGTCATCAATTTAATTTTGCTTACAGAAGATGAATTTGCATAATGAAAACGACCAGGTCAGAAAGTATTTGATGTGGTGATTCAGTCCATCCTGATGTCTAAATAAGCACATGTGCCAAGATCCATCACAAAGATTAATTCTAATTAAATAATTTTGGAATGTAAAACAGATATTTCCTGGTCTTCAAGCTCCAAACACGTCATAGGTTCTGCTTTTTTTCCTGAGAATGTTCTTATTGGTGCCTCTTACTTTTCCCTATTTCAAGTCCCCCTGTGAGACCAAGGAAAACACACCACTGTATTTAAAATATGGGATAGGCTAGTAAGTCATTTTATAATGGAAGGTGCCACTAAAACTTGAAGTCATTTCAATAACCTGACTCTGCAAATGTGTAGAAATACATATAGGAATAAACTTCCCTAAGAGCTAGGCTTCAGTGTTCAGTCTTTATTTGGTAGGTATTTTAATTATAGAATAAACCTAAACATCTCTGTTTGGAAGGGAGACATGGAGTTAAGAGTCCCTTCTTCGCAGAGTATAAGGTCATAAATGTCAAGGAAGTAATATTATTATCTGTTATTATTATCATAATTTATTTCATTTCCTATTTGTTGAAAATGCTTTTGTTCCATAAATAAAAGTGATCTTTAGAAGTGCTCATTATTTCTGTTTGTGCAAACATTTTTGTTTTGTTCATTCATTTGTTTTTCTAGTGTTTTGTTCTTGCTATGATGTGCCTTATTCTGCTTAACTTTTTTTTTTTTTATCGATTGTGGGTCCTGGGTGCTGTTGCTAGACGCTTCAGCTCAAGGCTAGTGCTCTACCACTTGAGCCACAGGGCCACCTCTGGCTTTCTGGTGGTTAATTGGAGATAAGAGTGTCATGACATTCCTGCCCAGGCTGGCTTTCAACAATGGTCCTCAGATCTCAACCTCCTGAGTAGCTAGAATTACAGGTGTGAGCCACTGGCACCCAGCCCTGCTTAACTTTTTGATTTGCCACCTAAAGAGGAAAAGAATTAAAAATTTTGGTACCCCTAAGTATCAATCATTTCTTGGGGTCAATGCGAAACCAACATTTACTCATTTAATTCTGAAGAAAACCCTGAAAAGAGTTATTTTAGTTATGTATGGATGAGGAAACTGCTACCAAAAAGTTAACCAATTTGCTTAAAGTCTTCATCCTTATAGTTAAAACTAGGATTTGTTCTCTGTCCAACTCTAAAATTGACATCTTGCTTGTCGTGTGGAACTTGATGGTGTGTATACTCCTAGAGACCAGGCTTGACTGCTGAAAATGATTCATGTTAACATGGCCAGCTCATGCCATTATAGATATTTCTGAGTCTTCTTTATGGATCAAATTTACTATCATTAAAAACACACTACTTCTTTTCCATGATGATATCCAAAGATTTAAGAAAATTTAAAAAAAGCCTTATTTGTCTTTGAGAGAAATTCTTATAAATCTTTAGTTGTTATGCTTCTTATTTTTTAACTTCTTAAGGAAATAAAGAACTGAGTTTTCTTACTCTCTTATAATAACCAGGCAGAGTATGACCTTTGCTTCTTTTACAGAATTCAGAGTTCCTGGATGTTATATTTTGCTTTCAAGTACACTTCATCTAAGTCAAAGGATTTTAAATGCATGTAGCTTGCAGGAGTACTTGTAAACTTCACGGATGCTATTTTTTTTGCTACATATTAATTTTGCTGCATAAAGAAAACATCTTTGTCATTAGATGTTGGTATGAAAGTCCCCTTACGGGGTTCCAAACTTAAGTAAATGAAATCTAGAGATTAACAAGAGCCTTGTTTCTCCAAGAAAAGACAATAGGGCCAATGGAGCTATTTGTAATAACTTAAAGCAAATTGAGTTCACTTTTTCATGCATTGTTTAGTTGCAGGCCCTGGCCTCGGAACTGAAAACTGGTTTCACAGAAGCAATGCAGGAGCTCTCACGAATCCAACATGGAGAATATGCTTTGGAAGAGAAGGTTAAAAGCTGCCGATGCTCCATGGAAGAAAAAGTTACTGAGATGAAGAACTCACTAAACTATTTCAAGGTAGGTGCCTCTTTGATTTTCCTGCTGCAGAGCATGTTGATTCTGCAAATAGGAGTATAAATTTTTCCTTTCCTCATAGCAACCAAATATAAGAATTTTCTCTCTGGGAATATTAATTATCATGGAAAATATTTATGTTTCTTTTTTGGAGCTCTATGTTGAAGTTAAATACCACAATGGAAGCAAAATTTTCATCTCTCATTTCTTCCTTTAAAACTATGCACTAAATAAAAATATATAGATTACAAAATCTTATGTTCTATACCTTTATTCTATGCACCAGTTTAAAATATAGCAATTCTTCTTTTCCTTTTTTAGGAAGAGCTGAGCAATGCAATGTCAATGATTCAGGCTATCACTTCTAAACAAGAAGAAATGCAACAGAAAATTGAACAACTTCAACAAGAGAAGCGAAGAGAATCTCGCAAAGTTAAAGCCAAGTAAGTATACTAAATAGTGTCCAAAATCATCAGCAGCGGCTTGTACAGAGGCACTGAGAGAACCCCAGCTCCACTGCGGGCCACTGAGTTCCACAGCTCAACATGTGTTGGAAGGGAGACAGCCACAAAGGTTGGCCAATACAAAAAAATGGGTGGAAGATACTGCATGAAAAATCCATTTAATAGGATATGAAATAAAAGTGACACATCTATGTGTCTATGTTTTTTTAAGTTTTTTTTTGTGGGGGGATCCGGTCATGGGGCCTGAACTCTGGGCCTGGGCGCTGTCCCTCAGCTCTTCAGCTCAAGGCTAGCACTCTACCACTTGAGCCACAGCGCCACTTCCAGCTTTTTTCTTCTTGCTTATGTGGTGCTGAGGAATCGAACCCAGGGCTTCACGCATGCAAGGCAAGCGCTCTACCACTGAGCCACCTTCCCAGCCCTGTGTCTATGTTTTTAAAAGAATGATTTTGGTTTTGGGCTGGGAAGGTGGCTCAGTGGTAGAGTGCTTGCCTTGCATGCCTGAGGCCCTGGGTTTGATTCCTCAGCACCACATAAGCAAAAAAAGCCGGAAGTGGTGCTGTGGCTCAAGTGGTAGAGTGCTAGCTTTGAGCTGAAGAGCTGAGGGACAGCACCCAGGCCCAGAGTTCAGGCCTCACAACCGGACCAAAAAAAAAAAAAAAGAATGATTTTGGTTTTAAGGATGTGTAGCCCTCAGTGACTTATTATTATTATTGTTATTGTTGTTGTTATTCTAGAACTTCTCTAATACTGCTATTATTTTGATCCTATGATTAAAATATTTATGTTAAATAATGTCTCAAACTGGTGGCTCACATCTATAATCTTTGTAAAAGCTGAGAGCTGGGTGTGGTGGCCTAAGTCTGTTATTTCAGCTAAAATGTTAAGTCTAACATAGGCAGATCTTGCCCAGGGTCATGTCCTGGCAAAAAAAAAAAAAAAAAATGAGATGCTATCTCAAAAATAACCAGGTTAGAAAGATTAGGGGTGTGCTCAGGTATGATGTCCTGAAGTTCAAGCCCCAATACCACAGATACAAAATAACATTGTCTTTCCCATTTGACTACCACATTTTCTCCTAAAAATAGATTTTAGTGGCTATGCTTATAGGATACATTAAAGTTGCCATGATCTGAAAGGGAAGGGTTCTGAAGTGTCCTCCTTCTATATGAAATGGCTGAGCAGAAGAAGAAAAGAGAAAAAAAAAAACATTGTCAACCAGGTGGAATCAGTAAATTTTCACCTTTATGTATATATAATCTTTATTGGTATATGTTTAACATTATCATGTTTAAAATAAAAATACAGGAATAATATTTGTGTGACCTTGTAGAATTGATTATGGTTTTCAATTGTAGACCTACAACTCCCCAGAAACTGAGTTGTTTTGTTAAGTAAATATAAATTATTCCAAGCAAATAGTTACCAATGCAAACTTTAAAGATACTTATGATAGACAGAGATGCCACTAAGAAAAAATAAGAAGGAAGAAAATGTAATTAGAATGATTTTGTAGATATTGAAGTTTTTCTTCAGTTTAGGTAACCAATTAAGTTGAACTGTAGGAATTGCTAGTATGGAATATAAGCTTGATATCCTGGCTCTCTATCACTTAAGCCACATCTCCAGCCCTGTTTTTTTGCTTTGTGTGTGTGTGTGTGTGTGTGTGTGTGTGTGTGTGTGTGTGTGCATGTATTAAATGAATTTTATTCAGAGAGTGAAGAAGCATGAGGCAGGTAGGGAATTATCATAAGATATCTTCCCAGAGAAGATTATTCTAGAAGTTTGCTGGTTATTTATTTATTTAGCTTGTCCCGGGCTTGAACTCTGGGCCTGGGTACTGTCCCTGAGCTTCTTTGGCTCAAGACTAGCACTCTACCACTTCCAGCTTTTTGTGAGTAATTTATTGGAGATAAGAGTCTCACAGACATTGTTGTCCGGATGGCTTCAAACTGTGATCCTCAGATCTCACCTCCTGCGTTACTCCGATTATAGATGTGAGGCTTTGCTGGTTATTTTTAAGATGGGGTTGTGCAGACTTTTCTATACAGGTTGGCCTCAAACCTCCATCCTTTATTCTCAGCCTTCTAAGTACTAGGATTACAGGTGTGAGCCACCCATGCCTAGTTACTATGCCCTATTTTTAAATTACAAAAGTAGCGATTTATATAGGTTCAACCTAATAATTCAGACATTGTCTTTGTTCTTAACTGAATTCCATCCTAATCTATCATTATTAAGAACTAAACTGGCCTTATCATTGTTTCCCTTTCCTAGGAAAACTCAAAAAGAAGAACATGGTACTCAGGCTGGGCCTGCACAAACACAAGGAAGTCCCTTCCGTTCCATCAATATTCCTGAACCTGTTCTTCCAAGTGAAGACTTTACCAATATTTTGCCTTCTCAGGCCTATGAAAAAGGTATAGTTCACAAATCAACTAGACAATACCCCCAAATATCCCCCCATTTCCAAGGCTTAGTAAGAATGAGCTTAAGCCTTCCATCTTTATTAGAAGAAAATGGTACACTACCCAGAATTTTTCTTTGTTATTAGAATTTAGAAGAGTCTAGATCACCCAAGAGATAGATCCTAGGAATCTGTCCAATTTTAAGGATTTTCCTTTCTGGGGAAATACCAACTTGCATTCTTTAAATTTTAATTGGGCTAAAATAATTTATTTTCAAATGGCTTTTTATCTGGTGGTACACATCTGTTATCCCAGACCTCTATATTTATAGACATTAAGTATGTTGTGAATAACTGAATGTAAAATTCTGAATCAAATGGCTTTTACCTGATGTACTGCTAAGTACAGATTTCCATGGTGTTTTATTTTTCTTTCCCATGTGAGTAGGTACCTCCTGGGAAAACCATCAGCGAGGTAGGTCTACTAGTGGCTGTTTTCTTTGCTCTATGACATGGAAAGAAATATGTGAGAGGCCAGGCACTGGTGGCTCATGCCTGTCATCCTAGCTACTCAGGAGGATGAAATCTGAGGATTGCAGTTCAAAGCCCGGGCAGGAAAGTCTGTGAGACTCTATCTTCAATTAACCACCAGAAAACCGGAAGTGGTGCTATGGCTCAAGTGATAGATCACTCGCCTTGAGCTGAAGAGCTGAGGGACAGTGCCCAGGCCCAGAGTTCAAGCCCTACAACTGACAAAAAAAAAAAAAAGAAATATGTGAGAGGATGACTCTTTGTTGGGAAAGAGTAGAAAATGGGCTCAGAAAGTAGAAGTCAAATTAACATATGGTCTAAGAAATCAGAGCATATGCACAAGCTAAAATATAGAAAATTATATTTGCAAAACAAAGTTGTAGATCTTTAAATGATGGGTAACAGCACTCAGGCAGAGGAATTATTTCAGGATTTGTTGAATCCACTGAAAACAGCTCTCCAAGCTCCTTAACACCATTTACAGAGCCACACATGAATTAACCTCTACTTTCATCCTCAGACTTACCTTTTGTATCTGTTTCTAACTCTATAGCCAAGCCACCTATTATTCTTTTTTTTTTTAGGTATGTGGGGGAGGTAACTGGTCCTGGGGCTTCAACTCAGGGCCTGGGTGCCATCCCTGAGCTTTCTTTGCTCAAGAGTAGTGCTCTACCACTTGAACCACAGCTCCATCTCCAGCTTTTTTGGTGCCTAATTGAAGAAAAAGAGTCTTACAAACTTTCTTGCCATAGCTGGCTTTGAACTGTGGTCCTCAGAGCTCAGCCTCCTAAGTAGTTAGGATTCTAGGCGTGAGCCACCAGTACCTGGCCTGTTATTCTTTTAGCTCTTGCATTGCTCTATGGATTCTTTGGCCTCTGGCCCTTCACAATGGCTATTCCCTTTACTTGTCCTCTGCTACCTCCTTTCACTTTTCTGGGTGAACTCCTATTCCTCCAAGTTCGCTAGAACAGATTGATAAAATATTGTTAAAATAAGACTCAGATGCAGAAGATCTTGAGGTGGGGGGGAGACCTATGCTTCATCACTTCAATAATTTCCTATGTAATAATTCTGCCAGTCTGTGGGCCATACTTCTCAAGCATTGTTTTGGGGGTGCTATGTAGTAATAAACAAAATAGAAACAATTTGGGGGCCCTTTTCAAATGGAGAATCTTGCCACTTTTTTCTTTCACAACTTGCCTTTCACGTCTTTTTTGTTGTTGTTGTCACTGGTCATAGGGCTTGAACTCAGTGTCTAGGCACTGTCCTTGAACACTCTCTCTCTCTTGCACCCTCTCTCTCTCTCTCTTTCTTTCTCTCTGTCTGTCTCTGTCTCTGTCTCTGTCGCTCTGTCTCAATCTCTCTCTCATCAGTCTTGGAGATTGAACTAAGGGACTAGGCACTGTCCCTGAGTGCTTTAGCTTAAGGGTAGAGATCTACTGCTTTCAGCCACAGTGTCACTTCCAGTTTCCTGGTGGTTAATTGGAGATAAGAATCTCACAGACTTTCTAGCCCTGGCTGGCTTTGAACCGTGATACTCAAATCTTAGTCTCCTGAGTAACTAGGACTACAGGCATGAGCCACCAGTGCCCTGCTCCTTTTACTTTCAAGTAAACTTACTCTGTGTAAAAAAGTTGTGGAGCCTTTGTAATGAAGGAAGCAGACAATGAACAAGGTAAGTAGAATATGTAGGATGTTCCATAGTGATTAGAAGACAACAAAGGAGAAATATATTGTAGACAGGGCACCAGATAAAGATGTGAAGAAAGTGAGGAAGTTAGTTTATGGATGTGGAAGAGAAGAGAGGGAACAGCTATTGCCACAGAGTGTTATCACTGTTCTAGGCTTTGACTCTAAAGGTCCCAATGGGCCAGATTTCACCATTCATTATCCAAAAGTCTAATCAGACAGAAAAGTGGTGGCAAAGTGGGAAATAATGTGTTTGGGTGTGGCCCTACAGAGGGACTAGCATCCTAACTCTTGCTGTGTGGATAGGAATAATAGCTCTAGGATTATATAGGAGAAGAACAAAAGCTGGAGTCGGGGTATGTAAACTCAAGCATCTTTATCTCACGTCTGGTTTTGCAGGGCCTCATTTTCACCAAGGAAAATCCTTACAAGGTTCACTGTTCTTGGGAAAGAGAAATGACTCAGAGAAAGAATGGGCCAGTGGAACCAAATAGAGTCAATTGGGAGCATGATTGGGTCCTACTTCAGGTTCAGGGAAATGACTAGAAACTCTAGTAGTTACCCTGGTGGTGTCTGGATCATTCTAAAAGTTAGTAGATGATAACCTATTGATATCCCTGGAAATCTGGAAAACACCTTAATTACTCTTATGTTAGTGTCTGTAGTCTTGAGCAGATACAAGAGGGGTTAAGTAAACTTTGGACTTACCAGTCTTTTTTTTGGGGGGGTGTCCGGTCGTGGGGCCTGAACTTTAGGCCTGGGTGCTGTCCCTCAGCTCTTCAGCTCAAGGCTAGCGCTCTACCATTTGAGTCACAGCGCCACTTCTGGCTTTTTTTCTTTTTGCTTATGTGGTGCTGGGGAATTGAACCCAGGGCCTCAGGCATGCAAGACAAGCACTCTACCACTGAGCCACCTTCCCAGCCCAGACTTACCAGTCTTGTAGTACCAGTTTCAGATAGACATTCTGTAGATGATTGGTATGTCTTCATCTAGAGTTGAGCAGGCATCTTACCCAAACTTTACAGTAGCAAAAAAGACAGATGCAATATGAAGACAGTTACCCAGGAGATATCAATCTGCAGGTCAGAAGGAAGAATCAGTGCTTTTAGCAAGAGAAGCCTTGAGTCTCTGGTACATTCCTAGTGGGAACATGACAGCCATGTCCAAAGAATAGCAGGAAGACATCAATAGGGCTTGAGTAGCATGAGCAAGGAAGACAACAGGAGATGGATGTTTTTTAATTAATAAAGTTGCAAGCAGAGATGGGGAGCAAATATTCTAGGGTTATCTGATCATTGTAAGGACTTAGGCTTTTACACTGAAAAGGGAAATAATTGGAAGACTAAACAGAGTAAGTCTGACTTATAGTTTAATCGCATCATTCTGCTCTTATTACTGTCATCATGGCTTCTACCACTATCATAGTTTAACAGTCATTTAGCTGTTAGAGTATTCTAGGTACTACTTTAAGCAGTTTACATATATCAGACTGTTTAATTCTTACAGTAATCACTTGAAGTAAGTACCAATTGTACATTTGCACAGCTGAGAAAATAGCTATGTTATACTACACTGTAGTTACTGTATTTTTCTTGCTGTCTCTCCAATGAAATGATAAAATCCGCAAGCCTGTCCTTAGAGCCTGGCTCATAGAGGTGCATAGTTGTGTTTTGTGGACTAAAGGTTGAATGAAATCTTTCCTTTCCCTGCAGCCCAAGAGTCCAGATCTGTCCATGTAGGAGACAGCAACGTGAAGGGAATGATGGGTCCTGGTAAGTGGCTCTTCTGTTAGTTCTAGCAATTCCACACTTCCTCCTTCTTCTACTTTCCTCCGTTCCACACCAGCCATGAAAGAATTCAGATGTGAAGGTCAATTTGTCATAGCTGTGACACTATCAAAAAATAACTCAAGGTGGGAAAGATTTATTTTAGCTCACGGTGTCAGCGGTTTCAGTTCATGGCTGGTGTGTTCTATTGCTGTAGGCCTCAGTGGAGCAGAATAGCATGGTGGAAGCATGTGGCAGAGGCAGCTGCTCACTATGGGTGGCCGGGAAGCAGAGGAAGCAATGGAGGGGGCTGGGGGCAAGTTTATCTTTCCAGGGTATACCCTAAGTGACCACCTCCCCCAATCTATTCAAATTTCAAATCCATCACTGGGTCACTCCATTGATGGTGGCAGACCTTCATGATTGAATTACTTCCTAAAAGTCTCATCTCTCAACACTGCTTGGGGACCAAGCCTTCAGTACACGTGCCTTTTGGAGGAATCTTCACATACAAACTATACCACCAGGTCAGATAAAGCATTACTGCCACTAAAATTCCAGGATCTGTACTAAAGGAAATCAGTTGATGCCTTGGATTTAACCCAAGCTGAGAGAAGGGGTGGAAAAGTATAAAATCAAATTAATATTCTTGTTTCTTTCTGCTCATTTCAATTACTTAGTGAACTAACAATTACTGAAGCCCCATAGGTAAATAGTCTATGACTTAAGTATGGATCAGACCCTAGGTAGTATCATTCCAAAGTTATTTATTTAATTGACAAATCACCAACATTTTATCCACTATTTCATCTTCCCTGTCCCTCTGTCTTCCTCTTTCCTCTTTCTAGCTTGCCATTGTCAGGGTGAAGGAGAAACGCATGTTGTCACTGCTACCCTTTCTCTCCCTCTCTGTTCTTCTCCCATTGGCACTGCCATCACCTGGTGTGCTCACCTGAAAGAAAGCAGATAGGAGGAATTCAAACATCATGCTCTCAATCACTTATAAATTAATTTAAATCCTGTGTGGTGGATCTATGCACCATAGTAGAAGATGTATTGGCCAGAAACAGAGCGGTAACCCTTTGCAGTTGAGAAAACTTTTAATCCATGTTGAATATATTTAACTTTTAATTGGTATATTTAATACATGAAGTACCTAAGCATGGGGCATGATTAGAGTTATTAACAATCACAATGTATTTTTCAAAAAAAGGAAGAACTTGATAGCATTTTTTTTTCAGCCGTGAACCCAGCAACTCCAGAAGCAGATGACAACGTGAAGTCTTGCCTCTCAGCTGATATCCAGTCCAAGAGCCATCTGTCATCTGGTGTGTGGAGGCAGCCTAAGGATGGCAAAGAGTGGGGCGAGGAATATGTCACAAAAGACCACCCCGATAAACTCAAAGAAGTGGGCCAGGGTAGACACAGCTCCCTGGAAAATGTTTTATGTGAAACTTCTTTAGCTGGTAAGTTCCCAAGAAGGGATCCAGCCTGAAATTTGGCAGAACACAGACTAGAGCTTGGAACCTAAGGGCTAGAATCTTGGTAAGACATATCCAGAGGCTATATGAGATCACTCGATCTCTGGTTGCTTTTGAAGATGAAGTAACTAAAAGCCAAAGGGGTGAAGGACTCAGTAGCAGCCACATGGTTTGGTGGAAGTGTCATCTTCTGGGTGGTCATGACCTTTAGTAATATAGTGCTTTGGGAAAAAAAGAAGTGTGGTGTTGAAGCTTTCTTGAGAGATTTCATTTTTGTTCTCCTTTTCATTAAGACTGGAATCAAGCATACATATAAACTATTGGTCATTTAAGTTTCCTTTTGGGTCATTCTGTATAAAACTGTCTACTTTGGAAAAAGTGTAGGTTATGAACATTAAGGATTTATACAGTGAAGAAAAAGAGTTTTCAAGCCAGCATCTTAGGCCTGTAACCCTAGCTACCTGAAAGGTTGGGAGGATCATAGTTTAAGGCCAGCCTATAGGGAGAAGTTCATGAGATTCCTTCTCCTCAGAGGGAAGCTGTATGTGGTGGTGCATGCCTCCAAAATAGCCTGCAAAAACAGGCTTAGAAGACAGGTTAAATGGTCAGAATACAGCCTGGCAAGTATAAGACCCTGAGTCCAAACCCCAGAAGTGGGGGAAAAAAAGCATAGGATTGTAGCTGGGCATGGTGACTCAAGCCTATAATTCTAGCTACTTGGAAGGCAGATAGTAGGGATCTTAATTTGAAGCTAGTCTAGGCATAAAAGCTTCTAAGATTCTATCTCAAACAATGACTGGGTATGGTGATCTGTGCCTGCCATACCAATGACAAAGGAAGACAGGAGGATCCCAGTCCAGGCTTCTCCGGGCATAAAGGAAGACTCTGTCCTGAAAATAACTCATGCCAAAAGATACTGCTGGAAGTGAGATCATAAAGGCTCAATAGCCATGTGCATATGATCTTATAAAATGATGTTTATCAAAATGAATTCCAAGAAATGGAAACAAGAGGTTATTTTAGTTTTTGTGTTCTTTTGTCTGTTTGTTCATTTTTTCTCTTTTGTCACTGTTTTTGATGTCTGTGCTTTTTGTCTTATATATAACTTTATCTGTTTTGAGGGTAAGGGAAAGCCCAGAAATGGTAGAACAAAGGGTAAACAAATGCAGCAGTGATACTCACTAGACACTATGTTGAAAAGGAACTATACAACTTTTGAGGGAAGAGTTTGGGGAGGGGAGAAACTGTGAGAAAATGAGGGAAGAAGTGACACTGTTCAAAACGAAATGTGCTTGTTACCTATGTAACTATAATTAACACCTCTGTACATCACTTTTACACAGCGCCACTTCCAGTTTTCTGGTGGTTAATTGGAGATAAGTCTCTTGGACTTTCCTGGCCAGGCTGACTTGGAACTGTGATCCTCAGATCTCAGCCTCCTGAGTAGCTAGGATTACAGGCATGAGCCACCATGTCTGGCTAATAATTTTTTTAAAAAAACTTAAAAAAATATACTGGTTGAGTGGCTCCAGTGGTACAGCAATTTATACTCATAAGCATAAAGTCCTGAGTTCAAACCCCAGTATTGAAAGAATCATAAGATTGTAGAGGAAGAAGAAATAAGAAGGAGAAATACATTATTGGTATAAAAGAAATTTAAACTTTTGAACTACTGAATCATTGATGTGGAATCTTCATATCCTAATCTTTTATTAATTGTCTCCTATCAAAGTAGCAGACAGTGCAATTGTTTCTAGCCTCTATTCTTTCTTCTTTTTCCCTTAGAGATAATTTTTTTCCTTTTAACTTTATCATCAAATACTTGAACAATTAAATCATATTAAAAGGTTTATTATGAAAAATAATGGCAAGCTGGGCGCTGGTGGCTCACACCTGTAATCCTAGCTACTCCAGAAGTTGAGATCTGAGGACTGTAGTTTGAAGACAGCTGGACAGGAAAGTCTGTGAGACCCTTATTGCCAATTAACCCTGAGAAGATGAGAAGTGGTGCTGTGGCTCAGAATGGTAGAGCACTAGCTTTGAGCAAAAAAGCTCAAGGTCAACACCCAAGCCCTGAGTTCAAGTCCCATGACCAACCAACCCCGCCCCCCCCAAAAAAAACATAAAAAGCAACCATTTCAGTCTTTTGACAGTTTCTTCCACATTTTAGGGGGAAAATGATGTCACTAAGTATTTTTGATGTCACTATTTTTTATTTTATTTTTTTGTCAGTTGTAGGGCCTGAAGTCTGGGCCTGTGCACTGTCCCTCAGCTTTTCAGCTCAAGGCTAGCATTCTACCCCTTGAGCTATAGCGCCACTTCCGGCTTTTCCTGCTTATGTTGTGCTAAGGAATCGAACCCAGGGCCTCATGCATGCGAGACAAGCACTCTGCCACTGAGCCACCTTACCAGCCCAATGCCACTATTTTTTAAACAGTATTTTACTGAGAGTTTTTTTTAATTTAATTTAATTTTATTTGTGAACATACTGTACAGAGGGGTTACAATTACATGGGCAGGATAATGCGTACATTTCTTACCAAGCATTGCAGCCTCCTCCTTTGGTTTACCCTTCACATCCCTTCCCAGCCTCCCCCCTCCCACCCAATCCCAATCTTTCTCCTTCCCCCCCCTCCCCACCGACGTTGTAAAGCTTGTTTTGGACATGACAACTTGTACTTCTCATTGTTGCAACAGGTCCACCTGTATCCTTAAACAACTGGTTTTTCCCCATCTCCTCCACAAGTTATACTGACATCAAATATAGTGAAAGCAGGGGTTATACTGTGGGGGAGGGACATACAAAGCAACAAAGAGATAATCTTATGTGTTCAAAACACATGCTTAAAAGAAAAAAACATTAAGATATATATCTAAGGGTTCATTTTCCTGACATTACATTATCTGACCTTTTCCGCTTGACTCATAGATATACTAGATATTGCAAATAAGGGAAACCATGGGACCTGTGTTTCTTTGGGCCTGGCTTACTTCACTTAATATAATTTTTTCCAAGTTTTTCCATTTCCTAACAAATGGGGCAATGTCATTCTTTCTGATGGAGACATAGAATTCCATTGTGTACATATACCACATTTTCTTGATCCATTCATCTACTGAGGGGCATCTGGGTTGGTTCCATATCTTAGCTATGGTAAATAATGCTGCAATAAACATAGTTGTGCTGGTAGCTTTAGTGTGGTCTTGTTTGTAAACATTTGGGTAAATGCCCAAAAGTGGGATTGCTGGGTCATAGGGGAGTTCTATGTGAAGTCTTTTGAGGAACCTCCATACTTCTTTCCAAAGTGGTTGAACAAGTTTACAATCCCACCAACAATGAAGTAAGGTTCCTTTCTGTCCACATCCCCTCCAGCATCTGTTGTTGTTAGAGTTCTTGATTTTTGCCCTTCTAACTGGAGTGAGGTGATATCTCAATGTTGTTTTGATTTGCATTTCTTTTATGGCTAGGGTTGTTGAGCATTTCTTCATGTGTCTATTGGCCATCCTTCTTTCTTCTTCAGAGAAGTTTCTCTTTAAGTCTTTAGCCCACTTATTTATTGGGCAGTTGTTTCTTTGGGGATTTGTTGTTGGGGGGTTTAATTTTTTGAGTTCCAAGTATATTTTAGATATGAGACCCTTGTCCGTTGTATGGCTAGTAAAGATCTTCTCCCAATCGTGGGCTTTCTATTGATCTTGCTAGCTATGTCATTTGCCCTGCAGAAGCTCTGCAACTTTATGCAATCCCATTTGTCCAACCTTTCTTTGATTTGTTGTGTTTCTGGGTCTCTATTCAAAAAATTTCGGCCTGAGCCAAGGAGACCTAGGGTTTCTCCTATTCCATCCTATAATGTTTTCAGAGTGTCTGCTTTGACTTCAAGGTCTTTGATCCATTTGGAGTTGATTCTGGTGCAGGGTGATATATAAGGATCTAGCTTTAGTTTTCTACATGTAGTTAACCAATTTTGCCAGCACCATTGAAGAGGCTGTCTTTCTTCCATTCTATTGTTTTAGCTCCCTTATCGAAGATTAGATGGCTATAGGTCTGTAGGTTCATTTCTGGGTTTTCAATTCTATTTCATTGGTCCTGAGGTCTGTTCTTATGCCAATACTTTACTGAGAGTTTTACTGAGAGTTTAATTTACCTAATATTCACAGAATTCAAAGTATACACTTAAGCTTATTGGATTTTTGGTTTTTGTAGGTGTTTTTTTTTCGTCAGTGCTGGGGCTTTAACTCAAGGCCTGGCCACTGTTCCTGAACTTCTTTTGCTCAAGGCTAGTACTCTACCACTTAAGCCACAGCACTGCTTCTGGCTCTTTCTGTTTATGTGGTACTAAGGAATTGAAGCCCTGCTTGCTAGGCAAGCACTCTACCACTAAGCCATATTCCCAGCCCCTTATTGGTGTTTCACAAAGGAGTATCTGGAATATCTACTGTATCACTCCTCTAGGTCATTATCACTCCCCCAGGTCAATATCAACCTAAAGAATGATTATTGGGTTTTCAAATGCCATAAATTAGTCTTGGCAGTTCTTGAATTTCATATGCATGAAATATAGTATGTATTCTTTTGTGTCTGGATACTTTCTTTCAACAAACGTGTATTTCTGAGATTCTTCCATATTGTTGCATGTAATTCGTTTGCTAGTTCATTTCTTTTTATTTAGCACATTTAAGCAACATTCATTCTCCTCTGATATTTACATTATTTTCAGCTTGAGGATATTATGAACAAAACTGCTATGAATACTCATGTCTTTGAATACTAATATGTATTTTAAGTGTATGCCTCTTGTATGTATACTTAGTCATGAAATCTCTAGGTTATAATTTAAGATTACATTTAAGAGAAAATTTAAGGGAATTTTCCAAAGTGTTTTTGATAATTTTATACTCCCACCAACAATGTATGAGAGTTCTTGTTACTTGGCATGGACAGGCATTTTAATTTTAACCATTCTCCTGGGTGTGTGCTGCTATCATATTGTAGTTTAAATGTGCACTTTCTAGATAGTATGGATTTGGCACATCTTTTACTCATGTGCATATTGGTTATTGATAGATCTTCTCCTATAAAATCCTTTGCCCAATCTTTAAACTAGGTTTTCTTGCAAGGCAAGCGCTCTACCACCAAGCCACCTTCTCAGCCCCAAAACTAGGTTTTCTTTTTACTGTTTGTAGAAATTAACAAACATATTCTAGAAAGCTGTTTTTAAACATGTATTATTGACAGTACTTTATTCCAGTGTATGTGTGTGGCTTGTCTTTTGATGAACAGAAGTTTAAAACCTTAAACAAGTTCCTTTTGCCAATTTTAAACTTTTAAAGTAGCTTATGTGTACTCTCAAGATTACATAGACATTTTCATACATTTTTGTATAAAATCTTTATAGTTAAGCTTTTCTATTGAATACGTTTTGATGTATGGTGTGAGGAAGGGGTCCAGTTTCATTTTTTCCCAGGTGACTCTCTGGTTGCCTCAGCATTGTTTACTGTCAATACTTTCCCTTTCCTGTTCATTTGCATTGGGGAAAATAGAGTGATCTTACATGGATGGGTGAGTCTAATTCTAGACTCTATATTTTTGTATTCCAATTATCAGAGAATTGTCATCTTGACAGAATTATCTTCCAGTTAAAGAACATGGTATTTCTGTTCTTCTTATGTTTTCTATTCATACAGATCTTGAAATTTTTCCGAACAATGTAACAAAAGCTCTATCATTTGTATTTTCTTTAACTCATTTGCCCCAGGGACCTGTCATCCACTCCACTGTCTTAGCACACTGCCATCATCATTCTAGGACTTCCCGTCCTCCTAGATGCTTCCTTCATATTTTTCTTATATTAGAATCCTGTTTTGTTACTGATACTGTTTTTGTTTATCTTAAGTATCCTTAGTACCTTAATCTACTCCTTACTTTGGCAGAACAAATCATCTAGTCGTTTTACACATCCTTGACCAATAATTTGTCTTGATAGAAGCTACTGTTTCTGCCTTTTTTCTTTTTAATTTTTAAGTCTTATTGTTTATGGTAGTGGGGTTTAAATCCAGGACTTCACATTTGGTAGGCAGGCAAATCCTAAGGCATATCCTGAGTGTCTATCTTGTCTCCCTATGTTTTTCTTTCTCTGTTTCTGTCTCTCCTATCTGTACTTCTCGTTTTCCTACTTTTTTCCTCTCTACTTTTTCTTCCTACACTTTTTCTCTACTTTTCTCATTCCTATCTCTTTTAATTTATATCTATGCTTCAAAATTTCTTCTTAAAAAAAATCATTCTTTTTGCCTGGTGACCATGGCTGATGCCTGTAATCTTAGCTACTCAGGAAGCTGAGATCTGAGGATTGTGGTTCAAAGCTAGCCTGGGCAGAAAAATCCAGGAGATTTCTCTACAATTAATCACCTACAAGTCAGAAAGTAGAGCTGTGGTTCAAGTGATAGAGTGCCAGCTTTACGCAAAAAAGCTAAAGGATAGTGCCCAGGCCCACATACACAAAACAACAAAATCCCACTTCCTTTCTTTTTTAAATAGCATCCTGCAATTGTTAAATAATGATTACTTTCCTCATCTTTCTGGGAATATTAATTCTAAGATTAAAAAAAAGTTTTCATTTATTTTCTGCAGTATCTAAAAAGATAAGCTAGTCAGGGAGCAAACTGACTTCTTTGGTGGGTCCTGCTTTATGTTCCTGTCTGAGGGTCTTTTTCTTTGGGCAGTTCAGTCAACAAGTGGAAAACCTTCCAGCCTCCTTCATGGAGTGCTTCATCTTGGCTGCCCACATGCTGGAACCTGCTGGAAGGGAAAGAGGGCCCTGAGCATCGAGCTGTTCAGAAAACAAAGCTTCTTTGAATTCCCTTGTTTCCAGGCTATCATTACAACCTTGACTTCTACTGGGCCTGAAGTCTTTACTGCACATCCTATCCCTTCCTTCTGTAGTTTCTCTTTCTTATATTCTTTGATAGAAATGAGGAAAACATCTGGCAGGGAGAACATTCCATTGCACCTTATATAAACTTAAAAATTTTTTTTTTTATTGTTCGTGGGACTTGAACCCTGGGCCTGGGTGCTGTCCCTCAGCTCTTCAACTCAAGGCTAGTACTCTACCACTTGAGCCACAGCTCCACTTCCAGCTTTTTTCTGATTATCTGGTGCTGAGGAATAAAACCCAGGGCCTCATGCATGCAAGGCAAGCACTCTACCATTGAGCCTCCTTCCCAGCCCCAGTACCTTATATAGACTTTTCGCCATTTTACTTGTTTCTAGCATTACCCTTATTTGCATGGTATTTGTTTCTCCAGACCTTTAGATGGTAGTGGATGCCCTGCTCAGTAAGCAGGGACAATAACATTTTGTGTCTTTGGACCTGCTGAATGAATTAGTATGCTTCCATTTGTTTTCTTTTTACTATTTGTTGTCTTTTTACTACTCTCAATATCTTTTGATTGTTTTCTATTTTTTTTCCACAAGATTTGGGGAAGAAGTTAACAAAAATTCCCTTTCTGGTTTATTCTTAAAGCTAAAAGACAAACTGTGGCTCTAGAACTGCTTGAATCTGAAAGAAAATATGTCATTAATATCTCTCTGATCCTGAAGATTAAGGCAACATTCCAGGGGTCCGATGGAAAGAGGAATTCCAAAGAGAGAAGGTATCCATCCATTTATTGCCTTTGCTTTTCAGGGTGATTTGGACATAAGGTAAGTTGTTCACTGTTTCCATTTGGGGGATTCTGTGGCTTATAAAAGGTTGCAGAAATAGTCTTTGAAAAGAAAATAGACAGTGATGACAAGTAACCCATCATGTCTCAAAGTGAGATTCTCAGCAAGTAAGAAAATCAGTGTAGTCTTCTGGGCCTTCAGGGACTAGAGGGCCCCTGTGAGTCTTCTGCACAGCCCCATGGGCCACAGGACAGGTCTCACAAAGGTACAAGGGAATAGAGATAGCAGAGATCTGAAAAACTGAGTGTACTAAGTGGCCATTCCATAATAACTCAGCACTAGTCTGACCCCATGTGTATGTGGGTGTATGTGTAAGAGAGACACAGAAAGAGAAAGGCAGAAAGACACAGAAAGGCAGAGAGCTTCTACTGGGTAGATAGTACATTATACAAGCATTCTAACCCTAGTGTCACCATACTCTTCCCTCTGTACCTGCTCACAGTTGCTTCCCTCTATATTTGGAGAAAGCATGAAGGATAAAAGGCTTGGTGGTGTACACCTGAAATCCTAGCTACTCAAGACGCTGAGATCTGAGGATTGTGGTTCAAAGAACAGACAGGAAAGTCTATGATACTCTTTTTTTCCAATTAAACAGCCAAAAGCTAGAAGTGGAGCTGTGGCTCAGGTGATAGATCACTAACCTTAAGCAAAAAAGCTCAGGGAAGCTAAGCACCAGTTGCTTACGCCTGTCATGCTAGCTCCTCAGCAGGCTGAGATCTGAGGATCCTAGTTCAAACCAGCCCAGGTGGGAAAGTCTGTGAGACTCTTACCTGCAATTAATCACAGAGAAAGTCAGAAGTGGTACTGTGGCTCATGTGGTAGTATGCTAGCCTTGAGCAAAAGGAGCTCAGGGAATAGTGCCCAGGCCCAGAGTTCAAGCACCAAGATAGACAAACCAAAAAGAGAGAGAGAGAAATTTACTAATGCAGTAATTGAGAATAACTGAGGAAAAGACCAAATGAATGGCAAGTGTGGATTATGTAGCAGTATTACTATAAATATTCCCGTAGATAATATACTCGGATGGTTCATAGATTATGATTCTACTTTGCGAAGCCTCTAATTATATTTTTCTGCTCCTTACTATTCCCCTAAACTTACTTGATTTTGTAGCCAAAACACATGCTCCCCCTACTCTAAATGCCTGAGGTGAGGGAACATTTCCTGACAGACTTGTGAATGTCTTGAATATTTTTTTTTTGGGTCCGGTCGAGGGCCTGAACTCTGGGCCTGGGCGCTGTCCTTCAGCTCTTCAGCCAAGGTGAGTGCTCTACCACTTGAGCCACAGGGCCACTTCCAGCTTTTTTTTTTTTGCTTATGTGGTGCTGGGGAATCGAACCCAGGGCCTCAGGCATGCAAGGCAAGTGCTCTACCACTGAGCCACCTTCCCAGCCCTGTCTTGAATATTTTAAAGAACTATTTTCTTGCAAAATTGAGGTAAGTCAAATATAGAGCAAAAAGGGGAACACAACACAAAGCTATGACCAATAGAGGCTTTGGGCTGGGCTTCATTTTCTCCCAGTGGTCACACAGATTCTCACTGTTGGTTTTCCCCTTCCGGATTCCAATACAACCACCCAGCTGCTCTTCAGGATCTGGGAAGTTTCTGAACTCTGGCCTTCCTCCTTTTTTTTGCTGTTGCCAAATACTCATTCAATTTATATTAATTAAATCTAAAAGCACGTCTACCTTTTGGATGAATAGCTTTGCTTCATGTCTAAGCAGCCTCTCTTCCTAGTTTCTGTACATGTGGGGAGCTAGGGCATAAATGGGAAAGGAGAAAGAGAATTGTGTACACTTTGGAACATAGTAACCAGGCTCCATGCTAGACCCATGATCTATAACTTCATGAACTCTTCACCAGAATTGAGGCTAGCAGTGTAGCTCAATGGTAAAGTACTTCCCTACCATGTGTGAGGCTCTTGGTTCTAACCCCAGCACTGGATAAAAAAGATCTCCAGAAAGCTATGATTTATGCCTTGTAGACGAAGACACTAAGATCTGGAAGTTTAAAACCACATTGCCAATTTTCAATTTGCCAAAGAACATACTATAGGACATTGCTTTTCTTGGAACGTCTGCTTTTCTGCAGTAGTTCATGTGAGCACTAGCCTTCCCCAACTGCACTGTGAAATCTGTTACCCCAATGGGCAGTCCAGAAGGATGTTGGTGTCAGTTCTCCAACTGTGTAAATGCATTGGTCACAGTATAGTAGAAGACATTCTAGAAGTATTCTAGAAAGAAAGAGGGAGACAAACAAAAGATACAATCCAAAACACAGCTGAATTCATATAAACAATTCATCCCAAAATCAGATCTCACCATGGTAGTCTGAATACATTGTCTTACACATGAATATTACCAAGTCATTCTTAGTCTCTGAGTGGGCAAAACTTTTCCACCTAGGTCTTCTGTTTATGCAATGTTTAGATCTTACATTGTTTTCATTTGTGCTTTTCTCCTTCATTTGGTGGTCTTTTGCCAGTTTCTGTGTCTCTCAGTCACTTCTTTGAATTCCTCTGCAATCTGGATGGGGATTACTTAGGTCTTCCAAACCCACCACTCCATCTGTAAGAGCTCAGATCAGGAGGTTCTATCCTCTGGTGTTTAAGAACTGCTAGGTTTGCCTGTGTGGAGACTCATGGAAAATGAAGGAGATGGAATAGAATGGAACACGAGAGTAGAAGATTTCTTGTATTTTTTCACAGAGAAGCTCACAAGCCTAGTCTTGTGTTTTCTCTTCCTTGTGCTACAGCTACAGTCTTGGTTTGCTTAGAAATAATTTTACAAAAACCTCTTCTCATTCTAGTGTCCTATTTTCTAGCAAAGGTTAGTGGAGCTTGAACTTAGGGCCTCGTGTTCTTGCTTGGTTTTTCTGCTCAAAGCTGGAACTCTATCACTTGAGCTACACCTCCATTTCCTGTTTTTTTTTTGCTGACTGATTGGAAATAAGAGTCTCGTGGACTTTCCTACCTAGGCTGGCTTTGAACCTTGATCCACAGATCTCAGCCTCCATGAGTAGTTAGGAAACAGATGTGAGCTACCAGTATCTGGCTGGCTATGGCTTTATGCTGGTTAAATTTGCTGCATGGGAAGCACAAGGAACCTACTTTCAGTTTTCCTGAGCTGCCTAGTTATAGCTCAAATTCTTGCTGTAGCTGAGAAAAACTTTGTGCCGTTTCTTCTTTCCTTATTATTTTTTTGTTGGTTGTGGGGCCTGAACTCTGGGCCTGGGTGCTGTCCCTCAGCTTTTCAGCTCAAGGCTAGAACTCTACCACTTGAGCCACAGCTCCACTTCCAGCTTTTTCTGCTTATGTGGTGATGAGGAATTGAACCCAGGGCCTCATGCATGCAAGGCAAGCACTCTATCACTGAGCCACCTTCCCAGCCCTTCTTTCCTTATTCTTTTTTTTTGGGGGGGGGGAGTACGGTCGTGAGGCCTGAACTCTGGGCCTGGGTGCTGTCCCTCAGCTCTTCAGCTCAAGGCTAGTGCTCTACCACTTGAGCCACAGCTCCACTTCCGGCTTTTTTTCTTTTTGCTTATGTGGTGCAGGGGAATCGAACCAGAGCCCCATGCATGCAAGGCAAGCGCTCTACCACTGAGCCACCTTGCCAGCCTTTTCCTTATTCTTATAGTGCTTTGACTGCCCCACTCTTCTCCAGCTAGGTTCCCTTCTTCCTCCTATGATTCCCTTTTCTATTTCTCCTCTTCACCACACCCTTCTCTAACTTTTCTCTTTCTTCTTTATTTTCTCAGAAAAATGGAGACATACAAAAAGGCAGAAGAGAAAGGCTTGGGGTAGGAAAGAAGACTTGGAGTAGGAAAGGGGTTCAAGCTCCACAGAGTCGCAGACCAGCTCTGTTCTATAATGCCTCCAGGCAAGACTGTCCTTGCCCATGATGCCTCCCCAGTAACGAAAAGGGAAAGGGGAACCCTTTCTGATGTCCAACTCCCTATGCTTTGAGTTTTCAGCTTTAAACACATTTTCCTCCTTACTCAACTAGCAATCTCCTACCCAGGAGCTAAGAATAACCAAGTGCCACTTTAGGTGCTGTCATTTATGGCATGAAGTGGAATAGATCATTTGCCCATCAAATTAGAATTAGTTTTAAAACACTGAAAAATATTTCCTTTAGCATTTCCACTAGTTTCAGAGTAATCAAGAGTGTATCCAGTTGGGTTTGAAAAGGTCATTTGAGTGATGTGTTCTTTACATTTTGTTCAATACATAACCACGTGGGGGTCATCAGTAAAGGGGTCTCCGCAGTTCATGTATTTCAGCTATGTGGTCTCAGACTGTCTTTAGGTATTCTAAATTCAGATCCATGATTCAGAGTATTTTGATTGAGTGTAAAGAATGGGAACTGCTGCATTTATTCCTGAAGAGTCTTCTTTTCTACAGCTGGTATGTGTGATTCTCTCTGTTCTGTTTCAAGCCTCTTCCCTGGCTCTTTACGATATCTTGTCCAGCAGCATCTAGATTTGCTCCATGCACTGCAGGAAAGGGTCCTGAAGTGGCCACGCCAAGGAGTCCTTGGAGATTTATTCCTTAAGTTAACAAATGATGAGGTAAGGTGTTGTCTCCCTCTGTCAGCTTTGTACAGATCTGTGTTGTACTCGTCTTTTAATGAGGAATTTAGACAGGGAATTTCAGAGCTAGGAGAACCCTGATAGGTTGTCTGACCTCTCCATTCTAGTTCATGGTATAACTTTTCTATCTCAGAGAGATGGAAAGGCATTGATGAAACCACCCAGCTTGCTAAATAGTTGGATATCTATGAAAGAAATGCAGGTAAGTCTTCCAACTAACAGTGCATAACTTAAAAACTATAACTGCCTCCAATGAAATGTATGTTTGTATGTATATGTTTATATATATATATATATATATATATATATGGGGGGGCAACTGTACCATTATGCATATATCCATCCATCCATCCATCCATATCAAATAAATATTCAAGGATTTGTGTATATGTATCTTCACATATAGTTTTTGTCCTTCAGAGGTTCTTAGAATACTAGGGCATGAGCTCAAGGCCTTGTGTTTGTTAGGCAGGTGCTCTGTTACTGAGCCATGCCATCAACCCTCAAAGATTTTTTAAAAATATATGATAAATGGCTATTTGTCCTAAATGTCTCTTTTTTTTTTACTTCCTTTATTTATTTTTTGTCAGTTACAGGGCTTGAACTCAGGGCCTGGGTGCTGTCCCTGAACTTTTTTGCTCAAGGTTAGCATTCTACCATTTTGAGCCACAGCACCACTTCTAGTTGTCTGATGGTTAATTGAAGTCTCATGGGCTTTTCTGCCCAGACTGGCTTTGAACTCTGATCCTCAGACCTCAGCCTCCAGTGTAGGTAGGATTACAGGTGTGAGCCACTGACACCCAGCTAAGGGTGCTAAATTTTGAAATCTCTATAATGTTCTGAAAGAAAATAGGATCCAGGCCTGAAGTTTAAAACTCAGATGTCGGGGCTGGGAAGGTAGCTCAGTGGTAGAGTGCTTGCCCTGCATGCATGAGGCCCTGGGTTCGATTCCTCAGCACCACTTAAGCAGAACAAGCCAGATGTGACTGTGGCTCAGTGGTAGAGCACTAGCCTTGAGCTGAAGAGCTGAGGGACAGGGCCCAGGCCCAGAGTTCAGGCCCCAGGACAAAAAAGAAAACAAAAAACAAAAAAACTCAGTTGTCTACAGGCCCAGATAGTGCCATTCATAAATGAAGTGAAATGAATGTAATGCAACATGGTGTGGTAGGGACTGGACCAAAGTGGAGGAGATGCATTTTGCTACAGGAAACAGCTACTCAGATTTATTCAATTATCATTGGGGAAAAAAGAACCAGAGTTGCCAGGTCTATTATTTTAAGGGAAGTCTAAAATCCAAAATATTGTATAACATTTTGTTTTTTAAATACTGTGTGGGCTAATTTAAATGAGCCAGGCATAGTGACTCATGCTGTTAATCCTCGCTACTCAGGAGGATGAAATCTGAGGATTGTATTTCAAAGCCAGCCCCAGCAGGAAAGTCCATGAGACTCTTATCTCCAATTAATCACCAAAAATGCCAGAATTGGTGCTGAGGCACAAGTAGTAGAGCGCTAGCATTGAGCATAAAAGCCCAGAGATAGTGCCAGGCTCTGAGTTCAAGTGTTAGGCCCTGAGTTGGAGCTCCAGGACCAGTATCAAAAAAAATTTAAATATGTGTATGTGGACTAATTAAAATAGATCTACAGATCTGTGTATCAGTGTCTCAACTGCAGATAAAAATACAAAGTTGCCAAATGGTTCCTTGAATACAAGAGTCGATAGTGCAATCCTTCTAATATCAATTTTACTCATTTGTATGCAGCATGCTTTACAGAACTAAAAATTATGGTAGCTTTGGGGATATAACTTTGGAAAATATAAATTGTTTTCCTGAGGGGAAATCACATAGGTGAATATGCAATTAATTGAAATGTGCAGTCAGTTGAAATCATTGAGAACTTCTCATCTAGATAATATAGTTTGATCACATTTGTATGTAGATGATCGAAGCAAAAAGGAAGTACGACAACTATTCACTTTTATCATTTAACAATTTAAAAAATCTATTTTTTAACTTACATGACCCTCAGTCCTCTCATGGTTTATTATTCCATTTTCTGTCATTACTATATAAGTATTGAGTTTTGGTTCCCAGCTTAAAGTAGTATTTATCTTAAAACTGAAAAAAATATGGATAAAATCTTCAAAAGATAGTAAAGGGCACATTAAATGAACAATTAAAATAGTAATTTTCATTTTCCATATAAAAATATAGTCATTCCTGATTTCAGGTTCTCACCACGAATTTTTGTGTTTGTTTTAAAGAATAATTTCTTAGATTACTATGTTGCCTACCTGAGGGACTTGCCTGAGTGCATCTCATTGGTTCACGTTGTTGTTCTGAAGGAGGTAAGTTAACCATGTTGGTGACATCTTTTGCTTATATATCATCTACGTGGCATTGCGCTCCACACTGCCAACACAGCATGCACACTCTGAGCTTGTTTTTCAGGCTGAGGAATGGCTTGAACGAAGTGTCTGGTACCTTCCTTGGGATTAAAAGAGGCCACTCAAGAATCAGTATCTTTCCTTTGGTTTTCCCCCCTGCTTTTCTGACCCTGTTTCACTACACTGGAACTATAGACAGAGTAATAGGTCTTCTTAGCAGAGCTCTTCAGGCTTGTCTGATGTGTGTCCATGCATGTGTACACCCATGTGCACACTCATGTTCAAAAGGTATGAATCTCAATATTAAATTATTCTTTATGAGTTTATAAGATCATAAAAGTGTTGGCTTTAAGCATTTCCACCACAGTGATACATTATGTCTTGAGCAAGCATGTGTCTATATACAACAAATTCAGTTATTCTGGATCATAGGGAAAAACATAATCAGAAGCGCCGAAGCTGACAGAGATGAGGGGCGCTATCTGATTTTCTACTTCAATCCCCTTCCTTCTGCTACTTCCAACCTAATGTAATGCTACTACATGTTAGCATTCAGCCGTATCTGGGAAAGGGGAAGAGCAAGGGAAAGAAGGGGGGGAGGGAAAGGTAGAGGAGAAGGTGGCACACAGAGAAAGTTCAGTGTGGTTTCTGTAGAGACGATCAGTTTCTAATCATATTCCTTTTCCCTCTCTCATAAGGCTCTCAGTCACCCTTATTCAGCGCTTCTATCTAGCATGATAGGGGTGAGGAAGTAAGAGGTAGTAAAGGGAAATCAGGGTGGATTCAAAAGTATGTATGTGATACACTCCTGCTGGACATGTCCCTGCACACGTGCCCTGGACAATGAGAAATCTGGTGGGATGGCTACGGGTTCTGCTGCCAGAGCTGGAGAGATGCTGAGAGCGACTCTACCTTTCTTTCAGGGTGATGAAGAGATTAAATCCGACATCTACACACTGTTTTTTCACATAGTCCAGCGCATTCCAGAATATCTGATACATCTGCAGGTAGGCATGGGGGCAAACCACAAATGAATTCTCATATCCAGCTATTATTTCTAGCTCCCAACTTAAATATACTATAAATGTGCAAGTAATTATTAATAATTCTTGGCAATATTTACATGGCCTAGATTGCTATGATTACCTCATACCTTTTCATATGCTAGGATATGAACTAAAAATCCCTAGCTCCCAAACTTTTGACTCATGATATATATATATATATATTTGCCAGCATCTTTGGCAGTCTAGAATCTTTCTGTAACCACTCCTGCTAGATTCTAAGTGCCTTGTTCAGCCCCTGCCTCTTTGGTTCTACAGCCATCTAAACGTCATCCATTAACATCTAAATTGCTATTTTACCTTCCCTACTGAACTGCTATCCTGCTAATTCTCACTTGGCTTGGCTTGGGTCCAAGGTTCTATTACGGAATTCTCACACTTTATGCCACAGAAGAGTCATGAACCTGATGAGCTGACCTTTTCACACCATTTTCCCACAGGGCTTGTGACATCATGGAGGAAGCTGAGACTCTACAACCTCTTGTTAGACTCTCTTCTTCCCATGAGCTGTTCTGATTTATTTGCTGACTGATCTTCTTTAGTAATTCAGGGAAAAAATCTTAGAAGTGCTTGTGATTAGTCTCAGCTAGAAGTAGCCTGATATCATCAGTATTGGCATTTTCAACTGTATATGGCTGTAGGTTATCATAATAATCTTTTCAATAATGCCATTATATAAGTATTGTTACTGCCATTTTAGGTTAGGATATGGAAGAACAAAGATGTTAAGTATATAAGTTTATAACTTATATAAGTTTATAGTTATGCCCAAGTTTATAACTATAAAAAACTAGCACTGAAGCCTAGGATTTGTAAGAAGTATAGCATGGTAGGGTAAAGAAGCCTGGGTAGTATCATCTAATTTGTGTTAAAATCCTTCCTCTACTATTTACTAGGCTGATGACCTAATGAAAACCAATTGTTAGTCAATTTCCATATTTGTCAGAGTTAGTGACTTGTTAACTGGGTAGTGGTAAAATCTAAATGGAATTATTTACGTAAAAGGACTAAGTATTCGGCAAATAAATATTAGCTTTCTCAAATCCAAATGACATGCATATCCTTCACAGCCTAGTAAGCATCTTAGTCTTTTTTTGTGTGTTACTATAATAAAATATCTGAAGCTGAGAACTTAGAGGTTTATTTTAGCTTATGTCTTAGGAGGCCCAAGAGCATAATGCTTCGGGTATGGGCCTTTGACAGATAAGGTCACAATGTGTGAGTGTGTATAAAAGGGACATGTTATCTGATATGAGATAGGAAGCAAGAGAGAAGGGAGTGCTTAGCTTGTTATTTTATAATTCACTCTCACAGGAATCCAGTGCACATACTAGCATTAATTCCTTAAAGAAGGTGGCCATCATTCAACTATCCCTCAGAGCTACTCTCCTGCCTTTAAATAAGTTCCAGAATCTTTTAAATATCATTAAATTTTAGGTCAAACTTTCAGTACAAGAGTGTTTAGGAGACAAACCATAATCTGAACCACACAACAGGCATTGTAGAAGGAGGGGCCTCCAACCTGGGTTTGATCACCACAACTCACCTGCTACCAATCCCCACCTGTCTTGATACCTGATGTTGTCATCATTGAATTGAGGCATTGCTTACAGGCAGTAATTGTTCGAATGACTCTACTACTCCAGATATTAGAAGCTCCTCCTAACATTTCAGATGGAATTATTTTATATTCCCATCCAACTCAAACACAAACTGTAATGACTCACTTTTGCCTTGGCCAGAGAACAGCAAGTTTGACATGTTAGTTTATTAAATGGGCCATATGGACCGTTAGTTGTTTTGATTAAAGAGCTACCAAATTTACAACATATGTCAAAATAAGATGCAGAAGAAATAAAGCAATTTTTCATTCTAATTAATGCACTGTCATTACCTCTTTCTCTCCATCCAGAATGTTCTGAAGTTCACAGAGCAGGAACATCCTGACTATTACCTACTACTGGTGTGTGTTCAGCGCCTTCGAGTATTTATCTCACACTACACTCTACTGTTTCAATGCAATGAGGATTTGCTTATTCAGAAGCGGAAAAAGCTCAAGAAGTAAGATTCTGGTGGTGCAGTATAGAGGGTTTTGCAAAGATTCTGAGGTGATAGAGACCACTTAATTTGGGTATCTGTCACAAGTAACTGCATTGTATGAGTGGCTGAAATGCAAGGGAGAAGGGGGAGGAGAGGTGGCCAGACTAGCTACAGGAGGGAGACATCTACCACCTGGTGGAAATTAGAAAAAAAAGCACTCCACTCGAAGGTACCCTATTATAACCACCTCAAAAATAGCTTAGTTTTGCCAGGCGCTGGTGGCTCACGCCTGTAATCCTAGCTACTCAGGAGGTTGAGATCTGAGGATCACGGTTCAAAGCCAGCCCAGGCAGGAGAGAACGTGAGACTCCTATCTCCAATAAACCACCAGAAAACTGGAAGTGGCGCTGTGGCTCAAGTGGTAGAGCGCTCGCCTTGAGCTGAAGAGCTGA